GATAAATACTATAATACTATAGCACACATTGCTGATAAATACTATAATACTATAGCACACATTGCTGATAAATACTATAATACTATAGCACACATTGCTGATAAATACTATAATACTATAGCACTATGTCATATATCTCACATATCCTACTCATCCTTTTACCCTCCAGTCATTAAATCTGTATTTATTACTTATCTATTTATTACTCAGGTGTATCATTCATATATACTGTGTATATATATATATATATATATATATATACACACACTACTAGGGTATATGCCATATTGTGTTTATATTTATGTAAGCTGTGATGTGACGACCATTTTGAATCTAATTCCAACAGGTTCATGTGGTGAGAAATGTACAATTTTCATGGTTACACTTGGACTTATGGTGTGATTGTCATGGCTACGCTTGCAATTATATTGTGATTGTCATGGTTACGCTTGGAATGATGGTGTGATTGTCACGGTTACGCTTGGACTGATGGTGTGATTGTCATGGTTACGTTTGGACTGATGGACTAAAGAGCGGCAGGGAAGGCCGACGTACTCGAATGGGCTCTGAATCGCTGTCAAGGTCACTGTAGCCAGAGCCGTCCACGGCACCCTGCGAGACATAGTGTCAGCATCATCAGCCACACACACACACACACACACAAACACACACACATACACACAGACACACACAGACATACAGACATACAGATTCTCAAACACAGACAGACACACCGAGAGCCGGCCTGCATAAGGTGGACCCGGTGGACCCGGTGGTCCTGGTGGTCCGGGCCGGCCGACTCCGCGGTCACCCTACAGGAAGAGGAGAGACGACAGACTAAGGTTAGAACCCAGAGCCCAGCATGGGAGGCCCTGCTGTCATCAAACACCCAGATCTGCATCACTGTCCTCTGCTGGCCTTCACTATAACACAGTATATACATTAATATGACCATAAGCAGAGTTAACTGACATTAACCATACAGTCTAACACACTGGTTAATGGGACACACTGACGGTTGGACACAGTGACTTTCGGACACATTAAACAATCTTACTTTCTCTCCCTTGGCTCCAGTTTCTCCAGGATAACCAGGAGTTCCCTGAGGACCCCTGCTACCCTGTATGATGAGGGCAAAGAGAGTGCCAGCCAATCATGAGAATGTGGGCGGAGCCAGTGGTAGACACACCCACCAACAGAAGGCACCCAGTAATAGAACCACCTTTTTTTTAATCAGTAACATAAATAAATATCTTTCAGAAGATGCTGATTGCTGCCATGTCTGCAAGAGTGTGCTGCACATTCCCTTCTTGGGCATGAGGGTACATGCATAAACAGTCAGCCACATTTTGTTCAGTAGATAGTATTAGAAGGATTATCTATTAAAATACAAAGGTAAATGTGCGTGCATGTGTAGAGGGTACTTACAGGGTCGCCGTCTCTGCCCCGATCTCCCTGTAAAGTAAGATGAATAATGTCAGTGTGCAGCTTCTCCAAGGCAGAACCCCCCCCCATGGCCATGAAGCACTGCCGTGGTCCCATCTTCCTCCAACACACTGCCGTGGTCCCATCTTCCTCCAACACACTGCNTCTTCCTCCAACACACTGCCGTGGTCCCATCTTCCTCCAACACACTGCAGTGGTCCCATCTTCCTCCAACACACTGCCTTGGTCCCATCTTCCTCCAACACACTGTCTGCTTCATAAGGCCATGTGGCACAGCTGATGGAGGCCCCACCCACAGTGAGGTAATAAGCTGGATAGACATCCCAGCACCCCAGACCCGGCGGTCCCCAAATAAACCACAAGTTCACACGACTTCCTGGACTCTGTGCCTGCTTCCCAGCTCCGTACCCACAACTCGTGACAATTGGCTCGGTGGACAGTTGGCAGTAAAGCATTCTGCTACAGGGCCCCTATATTGTGGACTGGTTTGCCAGCCTGTGTTTTGGATGCCGAATCAGTCTTAGTCTTTAAATCTCAACTGAAGACCTTTTACTTCAGTTTAGCTTACCAGCTAACTTAACACAGAACATACTGTAACTATCGCTACTGGTGCAGCTGTACA